TATCACTTCTCTACAGCTCAGGGTGTTCCATATAACACACTTTTTTTTCCATGAGCAAAGATTTACAAATATTTATAATCTATCAATCTTTAAATACACAGTTATTAAAGTAATTATAGATATTTTAACAATATGACTAAATAATGGTATAGTTATTTAGCCTTATTACTAAAATATAACCGGCATTATTTTGTTCATTTAGGAAACTCACTAGATAATTTGCCGATCCAAACAAAACCAAAAACAATGTAAAAAAATTAACTGATTTTGAAGAAAAATTTTAAACAATAAAAACATGGTGAAATGTTTATTTTTTTAGGAATGAAAACGTGCTTATCGCAGCACAATAAAAAGTGCTTGTCGCAGCACGATGCTATTTTTAATTCTAAGGAAATCCAAATATAACTCGCTGCTTTAGTATGTTGATTTAACTGGATAAGGTCAGTTTTTTATTGATATATATATATATATATATATATATATATATATATATATATATATATATATATATATATTATATATATATATATATATATATATATACATATATATATATATATATATATATATATATATATACATATATATATATATATATATATATATATATATATATATATATATATGTATATATATATATGTCTATATATATATATATATATATATATGGGTGTGTATATATATATATATATATATATATATGGGTGTGTATATATATATATATATATATATATATATATATATATATATATATATATATATATATATATATATATATATATATATATATATATATATATATATATATCAGGCCTTGCGATAAAGTGTCGGGCGATGTGAATTCGCAAATAGCCCTACCTATAGCCCTACATGCAAAATCGTCCAAGAGCGATTTTGCGTGCAGGTAGGGCTATTTGCGTCGAGCAAAAAATTTTTTGTTAGAGTATATTTAAAGATATTTTTGAGCGGAATTTTAATGAAGTAATTTACGATTATTTTAACTTTTAATAAAGTATTTTAAAAACCGCACGCAGTTGAAATAAAAGTTTGAATTAAAAAAAATTAAATATGATCATTATTTACAAGTAGAAAAAATTCAGATTAAAAAAAAAGTTTAAATCTTTTAAGCTAACATTTTAATAAAATTATTCAGCAATAGCAAAGTTGTCGATAAAATTGAACAAAAATACTTTCTTTTAGTTTTAGATTTTAAACTTGAATAATTATTTTACGGGGGTTTGTTAGGTTTTAAAATTATTCTATAGATTTAAAAATATTTATTAACTGTTAGACGTATTTAAAGTATTTAAGAGTAATTTCGAGGAAACATTTTAAAAATTGGTGAGCACAAATAAAAAAAAAAAAAAGGATTAATATTAAAACGTATTCTACTAGATTCAATAAAAAAGTACAGTTATTAAAATTTTTGTGAAAAGTAACTCAAAAAAATTACTTAAATAACAACGATCGCTTTTATGTTAAAAGTTACCGAAACTCAACGAAGCGTGCTCAAGAACAGCTGCTGAAAAATAAAACGTCAATAGTTTTTCGAATAATTTTTAATAATAATTTTTAAGAATAAATTTTTCGCTGAAGTATTTTTTTTATACCTATAAGATTTTTATTCTAACATTTTATTTTATTTTACTAGAAATAAAATGCCTTGTTAACATTAAAAATCTATTAAAAACGTTTGTTTAAGCTTTTTATTAATACGAGTGATTGTGCTTATCAACCGCTTTATGAAAATAAATTTAAAAAAATAAATAAATATTATATAAAATCGCTTGTAAAAATATTAGCTATTGCACAGTTTTTAATCATACAATATTAAAATTTCCAGTTTATTACTCGCTGACTTTTTAAAAAGAAAAAATAATTATTTGAAAAACTTTAAATTACATATTTAAGAAAAAAAAAATCAAACATTAGCATATTTTATAATTTTTTTAAAATTTAAGTTGAAATGTTTTTTATTCGTTTAGTATAGACAAAACATGACAAACGTCGAGAAAATAAACAAATGTTTTTACATTTTAAAAAACGAAACATTCCAAAACATTTTTAAATAATAACATTTCTACATAAACGATATAAAGTAGTTTTGCGGTAATTAAGTAAATTGGTACAGTTAATGTTGATAAATATGAAAAGCAAATAAAAAGAATTTAATGACGTCAAAAATCACGTCGTGTTTATGCGTCGCGCAGTTCTTATTCATCGCAAGGCCTGATATATATATATATATATATATATATATATATATATATATATATATATATATATATATAATATATATATATATATATATATATATATATATATATATATATATATATTTAAATATATATACATATAAAATTTTAATATATCCACATATATATTTAAATATATATACATATATATTTAAATATATATACAAATGTGGGCTTTCAAAGCAGGCATATTTGGCAAAATCCTGCATATATGAGCCTTTTAGAAAAAAATCCCCCATGTGCTTTTTAAAGCCAGCACGCCCCTGCTACTATGTCCTGGTATTACTACTTTAAAAGAATTCTTAGCAAGAAAACTTGACAACAGTGATAAAGAAATAACAATTAACTGATTTGAACTGAATTAATTAATCAAAGTATCAATTTTGAAGATGTTATTGACCTTATATCCAATAAAATAGATAAATATACATCTCATTCATTTATAGCTAAAAATCAGGCCAAGTACTTTAAAGACTGCAAAGAGTTTTTAAATCACAATGAGCATATAATATTGGGTGACTTTGTAGAGAACTTTCAATTTATTGTTCAGTGTGAGGTGGAAAGTTACCATTGGAATAAACCAAAATCTACACTTCATCCTATTACTATATACTGCAAATCAAACGGTAAACTGATATCTAAATCATTTTGCTTTCTTTCTGATGACATTGAGCATGATGTATACTTTGTATATAAAATACAACAACTCATTATCAATTACATTAAAGCAAACATTCTACAAATTAGTAATATTAAATACTTTACTGATGGATATGCAGTACAGTATAACAACTTTAAGAACTTTATTAATCTTTGTCATCACAAAGAAGACTTTGATATTAATGCTGAATGGTTTTTTTTTTGCCACAAGCCATGGTAAATCTACTTGTGATGGTATTGGGGGCACAGTAAAAAGACTAACTGCACAAGCTAGTTTTAAAAGGACAATGACTGGATAGATTTTAGATGTAGATAAGATAAGATGTTTGAACTTTGTGTCACCAATATAAGTAACATTCAATTCATTTTGGTTTATAAAACAGAAATAAATGAAGTTCGATCATTATTAGAACCAAGGTTTATTATGGGAAGAACCTTGCCGGGAACAAGATGCTTTCACCATTTTATACCAATTAATAAATGCACAATTTCTTTTAAAAGAATGATTCAACAAACTGATTTTCAGACATTCAACTTTGTGCACATACCAAATGAGCTGGTTGTGCAGCAGGTTATTTATAATCATATGGATTATGTAGCTTGCAATTATGACAATTTTTGGTGGATTGGAATTATAACCAAAAAATATGAAAAAGAAGGAGATTATAAAATTCAATTTATGCATCCACATAGTCCCAAGTTTTTTTTGGTCCGCACAAAAAAGATATGTGTTGCACCCCATCAAATCATGTTTTATTTACCATTGATTTGCCATCTAAAACAAATGGTCGCATATATAAAATTTCAGAATCTGAGTTGGAAAAAATTATTGAAAAAAATAATAAAGATTTATAGAAAAATTTCTAATGCATTATTTTTATATTTTTATGTTATTTTTTCAAATTTAGTTAAGATTTGGCTACAAAATTCTTCTTGTCGCTTGTCTTTATATTTTTAACAAAAAAAAAAAAGTAGGGGGTTGGTGAAATGCCTAATTACCCCCTCCCCTTTAGACCATGAGGTACAAAAAAATAAATAAATTAAAAAAAAATAAATAAAGATTTTAACAATATCTTTTTACAACATAAAATTAAGATATAGCTAATTTTATCATAAATAAGTTAGTAAATAAATTTTATGTTGACTCAGCATATATATAAGCTTTATTTAAAAGGCTGCACTTAGAAAAGTTGAAAAATGCAGTAATATATTTTTTATTAACAGCAATGTTTGATACCTATATTGTAAGTTATAACCATGCCTCAAAAAAAATTATCAAGGTAATATCACCATTTTGGCCATTGAAATACCCCAAAATATATACCTTTATTATCTAATTTGCGTGTAATTATGAAGGTCAAAAAAATTTTCAATTTGAAATTTGTATCCACAATGTGGAACATTGTCTATGTACAAAATTTAAGGATAATACCTCATTTAGTTCATAAAATATTGCTATTTAGCAACAAAAAAGTATTTTGTAAAAAATATTGAGTCAGCATAAATAAGAAAATTGAATCCTGAATATCTCAAGAACCGTAAGGTGTTGGGGGTTCCAAATTTCAGATTTTCTTGATTTTTATAAACCCTATAACATATAAAAAAATTAGCAAAATTCATGGGGTGACATTTTTTGTTTTTTTCTGCTGATTTGACATGGAATTACTCATATTTAAATATTGCACATTTTTTTATATTATTTGTAAATTGCTAATCTCTCTAATTTTATTGCCAAACTTTTATATGAACTTTTTAGACTAATTTATGTGGTCAATATAAAAATTATATTAACTTTTTTATTTCAGCAAAAGTAATATTATTTTTTAAATCTTAATAATAAATTTTTTTATATTCTTCATGTTACATCTTATAGCAACAAACTTTTATTTTAATAAATTGGTATAATTTATTTAATCCCACATACAAACGAACATTTCTATTAGAAAAGAGAATCAAAAATCTGTGGAGAAGAATTTTTTTGTTTTCTGTGTGTTTTGTTTTGTGATAAAAAATTTGACAATGACATAGAACTTGACACAAACAATTCGGTATCATTGATATTACCCAAATTCTCTATTTACCTACATTTAATCCAAAACATGCTGCCCCTTCAGCACGATAGAAAACAGCATCAGGACCACGAGAGTGTGAATTTAACATTGAATTCAAAACAGCAAGAGGGGCAGAATGGCCACGTCCAACTTGTTTCAAATTGCCTTCTTGTATATGCTTTAGAATATCTTTATGTGGTAAAGGATAATCAAAATTTGATAACACCTAAAGAATTAAGTTTCAATATAATTTTTATTTTTTACTGATTTTAAAAAACATCACTTAAAAATGCATAAATCCAACCAAAGAAAAATAATTTTCAGAAATAGTGAGGAATTTAATAAGAAGTATTTATTTAGAATATAATACTTTAGGAATATTTATCATGAGGTTTTTCCACTTGGAAATATTATAATAAAATTCCATTTGAAAATACTGATAATAAAAGACTTTTCTCACTAGTTCAAAACTTTTCCAAACACAAATCACAACATAAATGGAATAACATAATGCAATTTAATATAAATTTGCCATTTAAAGTGGCAAATTTAAATCCAAACAAAAATAAGCTGTTTACTGCTAAAAATAATAGCTACTATATCAATATTGTTTTCATTAATGGCAACACTCTTACTAAACCTTTTAATTTATGCCTTTTTAGATAATCTTTCACTATTGACCTCTCATGAAAATCAAATTTCTAATCCATTGCAATGAAATTACATAATAGTAATAAAAAAAGAACTCAAATCAAATATAAAGGCACCTATGGATTTTCACCACCAGTGGATTAAATTAAAGCTAAATTAATAAAGGAAAAAAAACTTGACAAGAATTTATGTTTGGGAGGTCAAAATAGCAACTTCAGTCATTACACGAGGTTGTTAACTATTGACCGTTTATTTTTTCATTGAACATTATTTTCCACATTGGCATGAATAAGAAAATATAATGCAAAAAAAATTAAAAATAATTTTAAATAGGAATATATTTGGATTTCAATTTTGTAATAATATCTGACCCCCCTTCCCCAATAATTAAAAAAAAAAAAAGTCCTTAATATTTTCATAGCACATTTAATTTGCATACATTTGATAGAGCATTTATTTAATTTTACAAAATTTATATTGTTCAACTTGATTTTTGATTATTTAATAAATCAAATTGTTTCCTTCATAAAGTAACATATTAATAATATTTTGAATGAGTATTTACTCATTTAAAATATTAATAATATGTTACTTTATGAAGGAAACAATTTGATTTATTAAATAACCAAAAATCAAGTTGAACAATATAAACTTTATAAAATTGAATAAATGCTCTTTCAAATGTATGCAAATTAAATGTGCTATGAAAGTATTAAGGACTTTATTTTATTTATTTTTTAATTATGGGGGGGGGGGGGGGATGTTCAGATATTATCACAAAATTGAAATCCAATGGACTTGTTCACTTATCTAATACCACAAAACCTGTTAACTACTTAGTCTTAATGTAAGAAAAATATTATTTTTCTCCTATAACTCATGTAAATATAAATTTTTTGAATATCTAGACATAAGCACTAGAAAAAAATAAATAGTCGATCAATCAGTTAATAAATTATATATATTTAAATAAAGATCTTAAATTCAAGAATATTTACAAATCGTAAACTAATATTGGGCAAACACCTGTAATGCTAATAATAAATTATTATTATTTATTAATTAATTGATCAACTATATATATATATATATATATATATATATATATATATATATATATATATATATATATATATATATATATATATATATATATATATATATATATATATATATATATATATATATATATATATATATATATATATATATATATATATATATATATATATATATATATATATATATATATATATATATATATATATATATATATATATATATATATATATATATATATATATATAGTATATATATTACTGTTACCCGCAGTATCAAGAATTAGCTAAATGCTAATATTTTTAACCTTTTAGCTAATTCCTGATACTGCGGGTAACAGTAATATATATACTATATAGCTCTAGTTTATCTATTGAGCACTCTTTAAAATATACATTATTATACATGATAATATAAAAAAATCATCTTTAATATTTACATATATGCACCCACGTATATATATATATATATATATATATATATATATATATATATATATATATATATATTTCTAGTGTACTTGAAATAAGCATTATATATAAAATATATATAGTGCTTCCAATACCGGTAGTACCGGTACCGGAATACCGGTATTACCGGACATTTTTAAGTACCGAAATACCAGTATTGGTTTGGCTCAATACCGGTATTAAAAATATATGTAGAGGGCTTATGATATAGCAGGTGCTATCGCCCTCTTTACGTGAAACACTAAAGTAAATGAAATACTTAAAACTTTCAATAACGCTTCCGGTAGGAAAAAGATAGCTAGATGAGAAAAGACGTGTTTAAATTGTTTAAAACAAGTATTCTACGTACTTTATACTTAATATCTAGTTGCCAGCTCATTTCCCAATAGGTTTGGTAGGAAATGAGCTAGCAACTATCCAGCGAACAGCTAGCGTTTAAGACGTATAAAATACGTAGAATACTTGTTTTAGACAATTTAAACACGTCTTTTGTCATCTAGCTATCTTTTTCTTACCGGAAGCGTTGTTTGATCGTGACTGGAAGTTTTAAGTATTCCATTTACAATTGTGTTTTCATTAAATAATGAAGCACCAATTTAAAATATTATTATTACGTCACTCGCTTTAATGTAGAACGCATGTTTGAATTTTTCACTAACGTAAATATGAAAAGTTTCGGTAATGTAGAAAGTGGGGCGTTTAAGTAACTGTGATCAACAGTTGTGCATTAGGCATGGGATTCAACTAGGTATTCAAGATATTTTGTACAAAAAAATCGTCAATTTCTGCAAAAAAAACTTGAAAGTAATATGCAATAACAGAGAAAGTGACGAGGAAATACTGATGACACAAACATAACCAATAATGATGAAGACTTTTCTGGCGGGTTTCAAGTTGTAATGAGTGAAGAGAATGACTCTATTGAACTGACTGATGATTTGCAGCCGTTAATCAAAAAGGTGCGCACCGTTGTGAAATTTTTATTTCGCCGTTCTCCAACAAAAAATGATCAAAATTCAAAAACGCACGTTAGAAAAATTTGATAAAGATATTCCACTAATACTTGGATCCAAAACTAGCTGGGTTAGCTTGCACACAGTACTCGAACGTTTTGTATAATTAAAAAAATGCATTCACGAGTTACTTTTTGCCCTTGAGTCCAAAGTTGAGGTAACTAATAATGAGTCCGATGCAATATTAGCTGTTAACTTATATCTTGCGCCAGTAAAACTGGCTGTGGAAACATTGTGCCAAAATCATGCAACTCTGTTGTGTGATACAACATTTTCATGATAGATAACCTTTGAGAAATCGATTAAGCTGTAAAGTTATGTTGGTGCAACAATTCAATGAGCAACGTACTCTTTTTCCAGCATACAACATTTTTTGCACAAGGGACATCAACGTTACAAGAATTTGGATCTAGCTCTATCTTTTAAGCACCATAGCAAATTAGCCATTGTAAATACCATTACTCGACTGAAAGATCGGCTCAATCAGAAAGGGTATAGTCCTCTCCCTTTCACCAGCGTTTTTTCCGATAGTGATTCTGTGGACAACGCTGTAAACTTGTCATTGAAAAAAAAGCTTGACTTTGCAATTTTGAAAAATAAGAAATGTAACAACAAGGGAAAATTGAATGTTTCGAATAATTCATCAAAAATTATATGTATTGAAATAGGAATTTTTGAAGAAGGAGGAAATCGTTGTATATATTTGCAAAATTCCTACCATTACTTGAAAACTGTGAAGCCAACAAAATTAGATGATCTTTTGAAGATGATGTTCTGAACGCCCTATGTTTTTTACGGGCTCATTTTACAAAGCAGAAAAAAGCGAAAAATAAAAAAGTCAGTAGTTTTGATATAAAATAAATAAGCTGATTGAATCAATAAAATTTTTACTATTAACTTGAGATTTTATTTAGATTATGATAAATTTAAAAATAAAGTTTAATAAAGGTATTAAACCGGTATTACCGGTATTGTAATTATTTAGTACCGATATACCGGTATTGAAAAATGGTATTGGTATTGGAAGCACTAAATATATATGATAAAAAAAAACTTTTGAAAAGTAAGAAATATTTAGTGTAAATGTTGCTTAACCTTCTTTTGCTACATCTTCATATTAACATTATTATAATGTTAATAGGACAATGTAACAAAAGAAGCTTTTTTTTATCATTTATATTTTTTATATAATGCTTATTTTAAGTGAACATACTTGTAGCAAACAACACATTTGTCAAGTGATAAAACTAATCATTAATTTAAAACAAAATAAAAAGTGAATCATTAAATAAATCACTAAGTTAAATAAAAATTGAAACAATTTTTGAAGTTATTTTATCAGGAAATGGATCTATGCTTGCAAGACTGTAATAATAATTTAGTGATCAGGGTAATTTGTAAAAGTAATTTTTTTGAAAATGTCTGCTTAAACCTCCTAAATGTGTTTAATTTGGACCGGAATAGCTCAGTTGATTAGAGTGCTAAAAGTTTGGGATTGTTATTGGCTGTAACAGCAGGATTGTAGGTTCAAATCTTGGCTCTGCCTACTCAGCGTATGAGTAGTACCTCAGTATGAAGGGAACTCATCTCAATTAGCTCTGCTATTACAATTTTCCCTTCTAAACTAGTAAATAAACAATTTAGTTGAAATGAAAATTATTGTTTTAATATAACACTGGATTTAGAAAATTTTGAATTAAAAAGTTTTTTTCAAGGTCTTTCAAGACCTTTAAATATTTAATGAGTTTCTAATATTTTAAGAAAAAATGTCAACCTGGTCTCAAGAGAAGCGAAATTTTATTAAAATTTAAAAATAATAATCATTTTAAATACAATGATTATTTTAAAACTTATTGCATAAAAACTTTGGTTTTTTAACTAAAAATGAAAAAAGTGCATCTTTATTCTTACAAGTTTTTTAATAAGAAATTTTTTTAAATTTTTTTATAAAACTATGATTATTTTTGAACATTTGATATAATTTTGTTTCTTCTTTTTTTTATAATAAAAAAAGTCTTGATAAACCCCTAGATATATATTTTATTCAAATTATTCTAATCTAGTGCTCTTTTACTATACCAAACACATTTAAAGGGTTAAAGCTGACATTTTCAAAAAAATTCCTTTTACGAACCACCGTAATAGTGATGTACTGATTGCATATTGGAAAATAATACATATAATGAAATCAATCATCAAAAAAGGCCGATCAACTGAATATTAAAATATTCGAAAATGCAAAAGCATATAACATTAAACATAACTTTTTTCATTTTAACAGTAATTTTCTGTTATTTCTTAAACACTTTGGGTTGTTATCTAGTTGGGCGTTGGTAAAGTAACATTTCATACTACACTATTAGACTTTGAATTAAATTCCACATGAAAAACTACATTGTCAAGTTAATAGCTCTTTTTTTTTAAATTTATACATTTTATAAACTACTAAAGAAAAAGCTTTTACTAGCTACTTTGCTATCAATAATAAAAACTATATATGTAAGAAAATAACTTATAACAAAAAATGTTTAAATGTGTTAAAATTTTCATAGTTATTATTTGTAACAAATACCTTTTCTGCAGCTTCTGCCCATGTCATGTTACCTTCAGATTTAGATTTTTTAAACATTTTATCTTTTGATGTTTTATCTTCATCATTGCATTCGTCGGATGAACTTCTATCAGGATCTGTTTCTTTATTCATTTACAATAATTTAAAAATTTCTAAACTAAAATCTTATTTATTGTGAAATCATTAAATTATAGTACACAAAATTTAAGAGAAAGTAGGCATATAATACCAAGAGAAAACATATATTTTTATACATAAATACTTTTACAAAATTTATCTAGCGTTAATTTGACTGTAAACAGTCCATCTTTAACAACTGTTTTGTTTGCATAACAGTTAGTTTTGCATTAAATATCATTAAGAGTTATTGCCAAAACAATAAACTAGCCTGTGTCTACAGATTATTGAGGATAATTATTCAAAATTTGCATACTGATTGATCATTCTGGACATCAATTCTGATACTTCGAAGACAAACTAAAATTTTGATCACGTGATTCTTTTTTAGCAACTCTAAAAAAAAAAATGTTTTGGTCGCGACCGAAATATTAACCGCAAATCCATACCGATCATTCTTATAAAAAAACCCGGTTAGGTCAGAAAGACAGTCAAACATTTCAATTACTTTTTAATAAATTAAAATTTGACCCCCAATTCTTTAGTAATATATAATTTCTTCAAAAAAGCAAGACTTCTTTTTTTTAAAAGAAATTGGCTTATATAGTTTTTTAGATTTTAAGAGAGAGAGAGAAATGAGGAAATAAAAATGTTATTGATAATTATATCAATTTTCAAGAGTTAAAAAAATATTAAACTAGTAAATGAAGAAGCAGTGACGAATCCTGAAACTTTTGGTGGGGGAGAAGAAATGTGGAAATATTTTTGTATTTTGTATCACCTTTGCGTCTCCTAAAAAAAACAACAAATCGTTAGCAGGCCGTATGTCCATTTTTTGCGTTTCCGAGAAAATCAAGTTTAAAATTTAATTAATAAAGACTTTCTGCCTGAATGTCCGACTAATTTTTTAAATATTTTTAAAAGTTGTTTCGTTAGATTTATTGGACACATACTCAATTAATTGTTGAAAATTTATTGACAATAAACAGACAAAATGTGGACATACAGCCTATTGGTTCTCGGCTGACGAAATGTCCTCCATTTCCAAAATGAATTATTGTAAATAAAAGTGTACGTTATATGTACATATAATTAATACTTGTGTTATCTCGTTTATTCTTTCTCATGTCATTTCATTCATTTTTTCCTTTTTATAGTTTTATTCATTTTTTACTTTTATTAGTCTTGTTTTTTTTACATATATTATATGTTTGATCATTTATTATTACTTCATTTTAATATTATTACAGTCTTTGATTTTAATTTTGTTTTTTTTTATTTTATTTAGGTGTAAATCCATTGACTAGTTTTTAATTATACGACTGCAGTGGTGTCTAAAAAGGTCCTTTTTTTACGTTTCCGACAGTACTAAAAGTCCAAGTTTGCTGACTGTACTATATGGTCTACATATGCCAACTTGCTGGTCTAAAAAAGTTAATTTTGCAGACTTAATGAACTAAAGTTCATTGATAAAGGGGTGAGGGTGGGGTGGGTGGAGGATATCACACACCCTTCGTACGAGCCTAGGATGTACAGTGGCTTAAAGTGATACATGAGGTCCCCTACCACTGCTCTAATTCTCCACCCATTTAGACCAGAAGAAAGTTACCTGATTTACGCGACGTTGAAACCATCCAGTTAAATTAAATACTTTCTAACGAAATGATAGTTAACTTGTCTTTGACGACTTTTAATCACAATTAAAACCATGGCGGAATTCTTATCCTCAGTGATGTATTTACATTAAATTCCTGGTATTCCTATTGCCAATCAATTTATTCATAATAGACAAAAAATAGTTATATAAATTTATCTATGTACTTAAATCAATAAAATATTTGTGGTTGTTAAAATGTTTTGTCTGCAAGAAAATTGGGTGTTGGTATTTGAAAATAAAAATGACAAATTTTATCTAAATTTGTTTAAAACTCAATTTTTAAATTTAATTTAAATTCCTTTTAAAACACATTATGCTTTATTTAATGGCTTCCTTTATAAAATATCTGAAAATTATAATAGACACTGTAATGATTTATATAAATTTACAAAAGCAATTTATAAATATTTTCATATTTTTAATAATAAACTTCATTACTTCATTACAATAAACTTTTTAATAAATAATGAAAAAAAGAAAGATATTTCAAATCAAAAAAAAATAGAACAAGAGTAAACAAACTTTCCAATAAAAATATATTGCTTTATATAAATAAGGAATGTTTTTTAAAACCGAAAACAGAAAAATTCAGGGATATTACAATTAACAATAATAATACAGTTAACAAATTTCAGCAAATAGTAAAAACAAAAGTGTTAATGAATAAATGTCAACCTAACAAGACAAACTTAATATGATTGCTCTTTATTCAAAACAACATAGTTCTTTGTTTAATATTGGTGTAGAAAATTTTCAGTGGTTTTTGATAAAATAATATAGAAAAGTATATATAAAGATGATAACACTATAACACTTTCAATTATGTAATGTAGTAAAGCATAAAAGTATTGAATATGGAAGTCAAACAAACTTTATCTTTAATCAAGTTGAAAAAAAGTATTGTCAAAAGGACTTTTTAATCCACCTATTTCAAATGGATTTGAATATTGACCAAAGTTTAAAAAAAAAAACATACTGATCAAAATTTCCTATTCATTAAGCAAATCATAATTTCCAAATACATGTTAATGTAAACATATTTTTATTTCAAAGAACACTTAAAAAATATGTTTACAGATACTTTTCTTAAATTTCTAAATTCTGTTTCAAGTAATTCTGTAACAAAATTTTCCTAACATGAGAATTTTGTAACAAAAGTGTTTCTCTTAACAGCGTTTTAATCTGCTAGACTATTTTATCACGTTTTTAATTTGTGAAATGCCTTGTGACATGTGCATATATTTTATGCATATTTTCTGAACTTTTTCAAGCATAATGCTGTATCGCCAAAATCCAAAACAAACTTCCTTTGTTTATTATTTAGATCTCTGAGAAAGCTTGTTGATCATTATTGAACCTGAAATATATGCCCACACTTTTTAGATTAAAAGTTTTCCATTATGTGACAGCAAGTTTAATAAAATCACCAGTCTTGTTAACATTCGAGATATTAAAAGTTTCAGGTTGATTAAGAAGTGAATTGTAAGTATTATCAAAAAAAACTTTTGCTTTCTGAGTCCATTATTTCGCATGCTGTTGTTGACTAAAGTCAAACAACAGAGTTCCATCTGTAGTTAACCAAGATTTTTTCGCGCTACTCAGCTTTATATATATAAAGCTGAGTAGCGCCAATACATATATATATATATATATATATATATATATATATATATATATATATATATATATATATATATATATATATATATATATATATATACATATATATATATATATATATATATATATATATATATATATATATATATATATATACATATATATATATATATACATATATATATATATATATATATATATATATATATATATATATATATATATATATATATATATATATATATTTATATGTATATAACGTTCAGAAACGTCATGAAAAACTCTCTAAATATAAAATTTGAAGTTAATTAACGTCGTATTAGCTTTAAAATCGTTAATTTTTTTATAAAATGAGCTTTTTAAAACCACATTATTTCAAAATAGGGCAAGTTAGGGCAGCTAACTTTTTTAGTTTCTAATAGAATGATACAAACTCTCTTTAAAAAAAGAATTGGCTTTGCGAAGGAAGTCTAAGGTAAGGTAAGATTTGGCTTAGCGAAGGAAGTCTAAGGTAAGGTAAGATTTGGCTTTGCAAAGGAAGTCTAAGGTAAAAAGTCCTAGCACTATAAAAATCAGTTTATACTCATAAAAATTGCACTTTTTAAATGCATTTTTTATAAGATGTATAAATACATATTTTAATTTTTTTTCAATTAAGATAAAATTATCTATTATCTTTGTATATAATGAAAATTAAAATGAAAGGGATTTTATTTAGGGAGAAAATAAAGTTTTAATAATGATAATATTTTAATGATAAAAAAGAGCTGTTTTCAGTCATTTTCAAACAAAAATTAACAATTAAATTATTTCAGTACTTAGGTTTTTATACCGTTAAAATTACAAGAAACTGTAAAAAATAGTTAGCTAATAACATTGTTTAAACTTTGTTACTCAAAAAACTATATTTTGGCCAAATTTCAAGTGTTTCTAAATCACTGTGATACGGTCAGTAATTATGAAAATTAAACGAAAAAAGCTGCAGAATGCATATCAATCTACAATTTATGAATTTTTCCGTCATGCATAGTATATTTCTTAATAAAGATTTGTTTATATAGTTAATAATTTAGTTTATAAAAAATTTTTTCTTATTTGCGCACTCCTAGTTAATTGCGCACCGCAGTGCCTGTTTCAATTTGCGCAATTAAGCGATACACTACTGTACTGTGTTTATGAACTTGTAGACTGTTGTCAACTGGTGTTAATTAACTTTCAACTGGTGTTAATTAACTTTCAACTCGTGTTATTAACTTTCAACTGGTATTAATTAACTTTCAACTGATGTTAATTAACTTTCAACTGGTGTTAATTAACTTTCAACTCGTGTTATTAACTTTCAACTGGTATTAATGAACTTTCAACTGGTGTTAATTAGTTTGTAATCAATTGATATTAATAAATCTATTTTATAATAATTTATATGCCTGTCTCACGTAAATTTTTGGGATGGGGGTACCCCATCCCATACCCTTCCCTTAGTAAACCCCCCCCCCTCAGTAAACCATTATCCCCCACCACTGAATCCTGGATCCGTCGCTGACCCCGACCCAAGCTTTGTACATTTAATTGCGCCAATCCCTTTTTGCCAGTCGATGTATGTACATTTATTTGCGCCAATCCATATTTGTCAGTCGATGTATGTACAATTGTGTCGATGTATGTATGTCAGTAGATGTATGTATGTCAGTCGATGTATGTACAATTAGGTTCAAATATGTTTAAATTTTGTCAACAATAAAAACTGGGTAGCGTAGTTGAAAAAAATAACTTCTAAGTTTTTGA